ATAAAATACCTTAAAAGTCAAGTCATCGCCAAAACAACAAAACAAAAACAAAACAAACAAACAAACAAATAAAAAGGCACAAAAACACGCCTAATACATTCTAAATAATTACAATTTATTGCTTTAAATCACGAGAGCGGGCGGGCAGCAGGCGTTTTATAACGTTTCAGGTCATGAATTTGTCTACCCGTATTATAAATGCAATGTAATACATTATAAAATGGTTTGCTGAAAACGTTTTATCAACACATGCATTTCGGGAATTTCTGTCCTGCCTTGCTAAAAAATATCACAACGCGCCAATTCAATATTTTATTTGGCATAAAACTGCATATAGCGTATAGCCATTATTACATAATATATGTAAAGTGTAAAACATTTTACAATAAATTGTTCAGTACAAAATGTTTTCAGAGAAGTTATTAACAATAGTTCCCCATGTAGAATTAGCAATTAACAATAAGAGATAATATACTGAGTGTTGAAATAAATTGTTGTATCTTGATAAATTATTAAGTTCTTTCTCATTTTTAGATGACATTAAAGTTTCAATTTTTGTAGTGTAGGCCAACTTAAAAAAATCTTACGAAGGTTATAATATTTTGGACAAACGAGTTAAAAATGGAATTCATTTTCGATGACATGCATATTGCATTGTTGACATAGTCTATTTTCTCTTGGAACTCCGTTGTGCCTACCAATTTCATTATGATAACCGAAATTGCATTAGTTGACTCTGTATTTATTTATATTTACACAATTTTAAGTATTTTTCAAATTCGAGGTCGTACTTATACATACTGTATTTTTGTGATCTACTTGAATTATTTATTTCTGAATACCAAGTTTGTTTAGATATATCTGATATTTTTATTCTTTATTATTTGAAATGATATATTAATTTCGTTTTGCTGTAGCCATAGAAAAGAAAACCCTATTTCGTCAAGTATTGCTTTTATTTGATACGCCTAATTATTTCCGTTATACGATAAGTTATTATTGACATCTTCTTTCATTATATTATACATTTTTCTTATCAATTAATTATTGTCTGAGCCAAAAATTTTGTTCCCCCACTGTGGGGGGGGGGGGCATTTAGATTTATCCTTGTCCGTCCTTCCATCCGTCCGTCCGTCCGTTCTCTTTTGTGTGCACCTGGGTATTTTCGTGTGAATTTATTTAGTAGTTTTAGAGTTATTGCCCTTGACTTAGTAAAATTTTGCAATTTTCAACTTGTGTCGCATGTAACTCAAAAAGGATTTGACATAGAGTCATGAACTTAACAGGAATGTTGATCAGCATGTGAAGTTGTGCACGTTGGTATTTTCGTCTGTTTTAATTTAGTATTTTTAGAGTTATTGCCCTCGACATGGAAATTTTTTAAAATTTTCAACTTGTGTCGCATGTAACTCAAAAAGGATTTGACATAGAGTCATGAAACCTTACGGGAATGTTGCTCAGCATATGCAGTTGTGCACAGAGGTTTCGCTTGTGGATTTATCTAGTATTTGTAGAGTAATTGCCCTTGACTTAGTTAAAACCTTTTCATTATGTTGTGTTATTTGTTCCTTGAGTGCTTGAGTTAGAATCAACCAACTTTACAGGAATAATGATCAACATCACTAAATTACAGGAAAAATGATCAAAATCACTGTGTAGCTATGCACCTGGGACATTGCATGTGGATTTTTTCCGTTTTGTTAGAGTTATTGCCCTTGACTTACAGTAGAATAAATTTGCAATTTTCAACTTGTTCATGCAGAGCTCAAAAAGTAGTTGACTTGTAGGCCTGAAAGTTTAAAGGAATGTTGGTCAGCATGTGTACTTATGCACCTTGGGGTTTGCTTGTGGATTTATTCAGTATTTGTAAATTTCTTGCCCTTTTCTTAGTAAAAGACTTTTAGCTTTCAACTTGTGGCACATGTAGTTCAAAAAATATTTGACCTGGAGTCATAAGATTGATAGAACAGTGGCGTGTAGGGGCACCCGTGTTCTATGGACACATTTCTAGTTAATCAATATTTAATCATAATAATTTTGCGTTATATTCTCATTGGATACCGTCCCAGTTCCCCGTAAAGACCAGCTAAATTAGTTGATTTTTACGCTAAGTGTCTTTTTCTGATTAAAAACAATAAATAAATTATGTATTTCGCAGTAACGAATATTGAGCAAGCTCTTTTTGTGTACGATGCATATGACTGTTTTAGAATAAAGTAATTCCTAGATATTTGAATGATGTCACCACTTCAAGTGGCATACTATTAAAAAGAAAAGTGTTTGTAGTATGACGACCTTGTTCGAAAATCATGATTTTTATTTTGTTAGTTTTAACATTTAAATTCCAACTATTGCAATTATTTTGAAGATCAGTAATGATTGTAGCGCTTCTGGCGAATTTACAAAAAGTACGGCATCATCGACAAAAGTATGAACAACTTTATTTCATCGTGAGTAAAAATGTTGCCAATATTATCGTCGAAACTTGTTAATATATCATTTACAAAGAATAATAAAAATAAGAGACTGGAGCTGGGATCTCCCTGTTTTGCGCCGATGTTTGATGCAAAAAATGGTAAAACGCGTTTATTATATCTTACAGCTGTTTAGAAGTTAACAAGTTTTTGAAATATAAATGACCTTGCTAATTTGTCAAAACGTTTTTCAAAATCTATGAATGCACAGTATAGGTTTTTACGTGAACATAATGTTTTATAGATAATAGCTTATAAAAGAAAAATACAGTCGACTGTTGATTTTCCCTTCTGCAATCCAGATTATCAATGATTTTGTTATATTTGCTAGACCATTTTGTAAGACGATTTAATAAGACTTGAGAATATATTTTTGCAATGATATTTATAAGTGTTATCCCTCTGTAATTTTTTGTTTCATAAAAGGCCCCTCCCTTGAATATTAGTACTATAATTCCTGACCCCCATGATGTTGGGAAGTATCCAGATTCAAACATTCTATTACATAATTCTAAATTAAATATTTTATGTGAAATAAATGAAAATGAGTGTTTGTATATTTCCGCGATCAGCGTACTGAACATTTTTTATCATTTTGTGAATAGATCGCTTCTTTTATTTCTGACATTGTTATTTTACAATCAATGTCTTCATCATTATAACCACTGAGTTCCTCATCAATAAAATGTGTATTATTTGAACAATATAAACTTTTGAAAACATTATATAAGTCCTCAATATCAAGATTTTCTGCTGTTGGCTGAGATTTAGAGTATTGTTCTTTAATTCTTTTCCAAAATTGACAAGGCTGAGATTTGCTTAATATTAATATTAAAATAGATTAAAATATTAATTTTATATTCTCTTTTAAATTATACTTATATTTTTGTATACGTTTGATCTTGTTATATTTATTATTTTTTTGCAAACCCTTGTCTATAGTTTATATTAAATAAATTTTTAACAAAAACATTCCTTGCTGATTCAATTTTTTTTAGCGGTGAAACAGTCCGAGTTGAACCATGCAAGATGGATACCCCATTTGCTAACAGACGAACAAAAGTGAATCCGTGTTGCGAATGCAAAAACGTTTCTCTAAATGTACCCCAAATATAACAAAGAAAGCTTTCCACAACTTCGTTATTGATGATGAGACATGGGTTTACTATTTTGAGCCAAAGCGGAAATGTTCAAGTAGGATATGGGCCATTAAAAATGCAAAACGTTCAAGTTTTGCCAAGCGCTAACGCAGTGTTAAGAAAGTTTTGTATGTGATTTTTTTTTGATAATAAGGGTCCAGTAATGCAAATTCCGGTACCAAAAGGCAGAACGCTAACAGCAAAGTTCTACAAAAATGTTGTTCTGGAAAAAAATCAAAGTCCTGATACAAACATCTGGAAAGTGATCCCTCGGAAGCATTAATCACAACAAAATTACATAAGAATTGCAGACTCGGTTTGATTGAGTCTGTACATAAGGGAAATTGAATAAGTGCAACGTACATTACCAGACGTGTCCCCTTGTGACCTGTTCTTGTCTCTTAAACTCAAATTCCAACTGTCTGGAAAGAGATACAAGTTGAGGAATGTCCTTGAGTCTGCGGTTTATCTAATGAGTGTCCCCGTTAAAGAGTATGAACTCTGCTTTCAAAGTTAGATTGAGCGACTCAAACCGAATGTTCAGGTAGGTGGGGAGTATTTTGAGGGCCAGAGTAATTTAAAATGATGAAAATACTTATAGTTTAGGAAAGGAAAGGCAAATGACATTTTTTAACACCCCTGGTAGTGTTGTTACAATGTTTGCCTTGATTCTTTCATATACGTACTATAATGTTGTATGTAAAATCAAAATGTATATATGTTAACTGAATTATGTAAAATTAATGTGGGCTTAAAATGACTATAAAATACCTTCAATAAAAGTAATTTATAAGCATATCGGTATTTTATTAAAAGCGCGTGGGCATGCGTAAAATGATCGCCAAATATACTAAAGGTAGCAGTTGAATATTTTGTACCAGGATATTGTTTACTTACACCATTCATGTACATCAAATTACATAGACCGTCCTTATTTACAAATCTGACGATTAATTACATTCAAGTACTGATAACAACATTATTTCACTTTTTAAAAAAAATGTCCATATACTATTTCATAAGCTTCATATACTTTATGGTAAATTTCTGAATTGTTTGGAAATTAATGCATCAGTTAAATACCACTGAACTGAACTTACTACGATGAGTGTCTGAGCATAAGATGCAATTCTAAACACAAAAGGATATCACTTAAGAATTGCATTCTACACCTTTTATTTAACCAACAAAAATATATGAGACGAAGACTACATGTATTGCATTGCACTAAATAGAAAATATGTGAAATTTTGTTCACGCAATCATAAACAGTTTTTAGTCTCCACCACCTTAAGATCTAGAACCTCTACAAAAATATTCAAAGGGTAGGCGTTCCTTTTTACAAAGCTATAGTCACGTGACAAACGTTATTATTTAAGCCGATACACCATATTAAAAACGACTGAACGGGCTCTGAAATTGGCATATCAATCTCTTAAGTGTTTCAAAAATGAAAGGGTATTTAGAAGCCATTCTTGCGTTTTGCCTTGTGTATTGCATTGCAGCGCAAGGGACACAGTACGATGAGAAAATATTTGCAAAGGTTGTCGAACTGGAACGGAAAGTAGACCTGCTGGCACAAAATGTCAACAAAAAATGTAAGTGTCATATTAAATTAACGATTTCCTATAAGACAGTTTGGCATCATTATTTGCGATCTTTATTTTGTGAGAAAAAAGTTTCGATTGGCAAGTATTCTTTATTCTTTGCATATACTCGTATTTCATGTGTATGTGTGTAGGGGGTATCAAACCTTTAACTTTGTCTTGTGATTAAAATTATTCCAAAAAGCTATTTAAAACTGTAAATTAGAATTATTATTTTTTCTTTTAAAAATAATTAACTGTATTTATGACTGTAGGATTTTACACCGGTAAACACATACAATGATAAAGATAGGTAATAATTTCACCCTATATTTTCTTTAGTTTACATGGAAGGTAAAGAAAAAACAACTTTCTTAAAGTATGTAAATGCCAGCAACTTTTTATGGAAAAAAATGAAAATTGGTACAAGTTGTGTTTCTTTATTGATACTCATAGTCCATTGACAAAGATGGTAATTAAATATGTATTATCAGTTATGGATATTAGCCGAATTGAGGGTTTTAAATATATTTTAAATTTTAAAGAAAACTTGCCGATAATTCTGTTTGAAACTAAACAGTACACGTGCGCTATGTCTCGGTAATGCTCAATTCTTTAAAGATACGGGTCAGTCTTTTTATAATGTAAATAGCATCCATTATTGTAAAATAAACAAGTTCTTTTATAGGTGAATGAGCATATTAGTTGCCAATCTCTTGAAAATTATGTTAATTAAACACAGGTTGACAGCAAAAGAATGAGCATAATTCACTTTAACGACTTCAAAATTGAAAATAAGTAATAGAAAGAGCATCGAAACACGAGGCTCTCTGATTTGTAAGAGGGGGCGTAGTCCCCGAGTATAAATCAGATTGCCGAGTGTTTTATGTTCTTTCTCTTGTGTATCATAGTCAAAAATAAAAACACGTTTCCTGATGTCACAATATGAAACCCCAGAAAAAGGAAGCAATGAACGAGCATCTGAATTTGATATTTCTATCGCTTTCCCTTTCCCCGTCGCCACAGTATGTAAACCCCAGACAAAATGAACCAATAAATGGGCATGCTCTGCAGTGCGGGTAACTAATACCTGCACTCCAGTTAACGCACTGTGCATGTATATGTATACGATTTAACTCTTGACACATGATACAAAATACCGTTATGATTTGGAAATAATATTGATGAGGTTGTCCGACATGACCTAGTGGTTATTTTAGAAGTTTGTTACATCTACAGACAAAGTGTCAGTTTTAATGATTGAGAAAATATCAATTTGTTTCGAATAATTACATATGCTCGTGCATTAAAGGGATTATGTATAACATAATGGACATTATATTTTTTCCAAAAGACAAAAAAATACAGTTTTTTCTTAACTTGTTTAATTTGATAAAATGATAAGATCTAATGTAAAAAGGATATAATATTTCATTAATAATGCATTAAATATAATAAACTTCTATTTTTCTCTCTTAAAAAACAACAAACAACACATAGTATGTAGCAAGTGCGCAGTTGGATGGACATACTACGATGGATCTTGTTACATGATAGAGGAGCGCAGTTTACCATTTGGTCTAGCAAAAGTAAGTCAGATTGAAAATTGCACTATATCATTTCTGAAAATACTTTGATATATTTTTTGTTTAATATTGATCCGGTATGAATTTGCACATCACTCTTGTGAAATAAATGTTTACACAATTCATTAGACCATAGTATTCTAACAGCAGATAATAATTTTTATTTAAAAAAAAAGTAGAAGAAAATCCCCCTCCCCGAAAACAGAAGTACAAATATATGTGTCTTACTTTGCCTAATAACCAGGTGTCTTACTTTATTTGAAGATCGAATGTGAAAAACGCAAAGCTCATTTAGTCCATATAAATAACGCTGATGAAAACAAGTTCCTTACATCCTTTCTGAAGAGTAACTCGAAAGGTCAGTACGTTTATTGATATTATTGTGCTGACATGTGTGTAATCTTTAAAAATACACCAATAGAATATATAAAAAGTGCTGAATAGATATATATTTTTTTTTGTAATTTCTATCTTCAATATGATTTAAGTGTAATATGCAATTAACTATCACCGACTATCGTCACAGATGGAAATACATAGCTACTTGGCGAATGTTCGGTGGAAATGCTTCAGAGTCTCAGTAAGCAGCATTAAGAAAGTGCCTGTATATTTTTCTTCAAAACTATCACTTAAAGAATCTAAATTAAAAGAAAACTTAACCTACTAGATAATAAATCATCAGTTATCAGAAAATCGATTTACCTGAACCAACCTTTTCTGCTTTATACTACTTTGTGTTTTGATGTTAATGTTTGCTATTTGCATGAAATAAAATAAAGTCAATTCCAAAACCCTTTAAACATGTTTATCAACAGATATATAGTGTCATTTGTGACTAAAGAATAGTTATGTCCTTAAAGAAGCTTTGTTCTATTAAATTGGAATAAATATTTTGAGTAAATCATGTACTTATCCTTTATCTATATGACTTACGATTTTCGCTTATGTCAACAGGTTATACCTTTTGGATCGGATTGGCTGATGCTATTAAAGAAGGCGATTTCAAATGGATTGACGACAGATCAACACCCACTTTTGAAAACTGGGCGCCTAATCAACCTGATAATTTCATGAATATAGAGGATTGCGTACATCTGATCACCAGTAGGAATTATGAATGGAATGATCGACGATGTATAGATCGTTTAAAGTTCGTTTGTGAACAGAAAATAACAGGTTGAAAATAAACAGGATGAGAATATACCCCACATATACCACAAAAAGAAAAAAAGACATTGAAAGGAACATTATAAATAACTCTTAAACTAGTAAATAGAACAGCTATATTTTCTATCAATTTATTCAGATTATATTGCCTTAAAAACTCATGAGAACTTCTTATACATGTATATCCATGTTTATATGCTAAGCTCATGTTTTCCCCTTTAATCCTCTATTAAATAAAGAAGTAGTAGTCAAACGTTTTTCATTGTTTGTACATGTTGTATGAGCTTTAAATAGATGCAGTTTTGCCTTTATTCAATGTATATTTAAGTCTAATTCATATGTGTTTTTTTTGTGTTGGAAGTTGTTAGCTGATTGAAAAATTCTAAGATCTGTTCCTCGAACCAACTTGTGCTAAACAATGATTGTAGGAATTTCGAATGGAATAACCTACGGTGTAGCGATCGTTTAAAATTCATTTGAGCCGCGTCACGACAAAACCAACATAATGGGTTTGCGACCAGCATGGATTCAGACCAGCCTGCGCTTCCGCGCAGTCCGATCAGGATTCATGACAAGTAGAGAAACTGATAGCGAACAACATGGATCCTGATCAGACTGCGTGGATGCGCAGGCTGGTCTGAATCCTTGCTGGTCGCAAACCCATTATGTTTTTTTTTTGTCGTGACATGGCTCATTTGTGTGAACATAAATAACATGTTGAACATAAATAGACGTAATCAGAATATACCCCACATACACCAAAAAAATGAAAGGAAAAAAACATTGAAAGGAACATTATAAACAACTCTTAAACTAGTAAATATACATTAGATATTGTCTATCAATTTGTTTAATTTAAAACAATTCTCGAATCTGTTCCTTATATAAGATGTTTAAGGACAAAGCCGTATAACAGGTATATAAGACTGATTGCAATAAGCAAAAAGATATATTTTAACATGTTCTCTCCCTATTATTAGATAATTGTTCACTTTTAAAATAAAAGGCAGTTACTTGTACACCATGTCCTGTATTAACTTTGTTCTGGTTAAGATATGACGATATCGAGACTTAAAACATTTCTCTTATCAAGATGGGTCCTATTTCAAAGGTCAATTAAATGTGGTTTATCTGACACCCGTTTAGAAAAAAACAACACACACACACCGTAATACTTTTTTCTACAACGAACAAGACCTTAAGTATTGTAAGCATCAAAAATCACATGCACACACACAATGTTATTCCAGAGAGTCTCTTAACTCGGATCACAGCACTGAAAGCACTGGGTAAATAGAGAAAAAATCGGGCCATTTTATAGGACGTTTATACGGAAGAGCATAAGTGCCAGGTGTATGTTTACTAACTCGAAATTTCGACTTACTTATACCGAAATTTCGACTTACTAACTCGAAATTTCGAGTTACTAACTCGAAATTTCGACTTACTTATTTCGAAATTTCGACTTACTAACTCGAAATTTCGACTTACTTATCTCGAAATTTCGACTTACTAACTCGAAATTTCGACTTACATTGCACGACTTCCATTGATTGCCAGTGAAAGCAAGGATTGAATTCAAGATACTCTCTTTCGTGTGTAGCTGTTGCACATTGACAGAGCACCTTCAACATTTATTTAACAGAACAATTTTATATGGTCAAATTGTCCACACACACTGAACATATCCTTCGCTTTTTTGTGGAAGGGGGGGGGGGGGTGTAAAATCACACTTTCCACATTTCCGTGTTAACCGGGTGTTTCTTTTTCTTTAGCACACATACAACCATCATGTGGAGAAACAACAAGTCCAAAACCCACCCTATTGTAAACTGTGCAATCTCATGTGTTAAATAAGTTTTAAATGGCGTGTATACGCCAGTTAGTCTGTCACGTTTCTTTATACTAATAATGTTTTTGTAACATAATTCATTATTTACTAATACTTTGATTCATATTGTGTTGATAAAAGTTGATAAAAGTGATACTTGTTGTTATATATATGTTGGGAATAATATAAAAGCATCTGATTTTACAAGAAATATAGTCAGTCCAACAATTTTGACAAAGGCCTTAGCACGCCCTTTTTTTTGGCCACGCCGCGATACTTTCCCCAGATGTCCCACACGTGAAGTATAGGATCGGCACTTTTTACAGGGATGAGAAGAATATGATTAGTGAAAAGATATGTTCGCACAGATAGGATACAATACAACGTCTGAAGAACGCCTGAACGTACAAATTAAAGGAAGCCTTGTATTTTTTAGGTCGGGTGTATACATGCCAATACTAAGTTTAAGTTAAATTTCAATAGTTTTTTGTCCAGGCAACCGTTTCTGCATCTCCATCGTTCAATGACATGGCCTACTATATCTTATACCATCTAACTAATAACTTTGGCCATTCTTGTAATGTTAATAAGTCAAAATTTCGAGTTAATAACTCGAAATTTTGAGTTACTAAGTCGAAATTTCGAGTTAGTAAGTCGAAATTTCGAGTTAGTTACTCGAAATTTCAAGATAAGTAACTCGAAATTTCGAGTTAGTAAGTCGAAATTTCGAGTTGGTAAGTCGAAATTTCGAGATAAGTAACTCGAAATTTCGAGTAAGTAAGTCGAAATTTCGAGTAAGTAAGTCGAAATTTCGAGTTAGTAACTCGAAATTTCGAGTTAGTAACTCGATATTTCGAGAGAAGTAACTCGAAAGTTCGAGTTAGTAATTCGAAATTTCGAGAGAAGTTACTCAAATTTCGAGTTAATAAAAAACATACACCTGGCACTAATGCTCCTCCGTACGTTTGGGCATCAACTTTATAAGTAAAAAAATTGTCTGTGTGTCTAGTGCTTATAACTAAAATTCTACAATCAAAAAATCGATGTTCTTTGCTAGTTAGATATGAAAAATTATCATTTTACACACTTGCAGATCCTTTTACACACATACTTACATATTCATCCGCATTGAATGTTCGTTGATAAGCAGATGTTTTAATCTAGACATTCAAAACTATAGGAAATTAATACCTGTTATATGCAACTAGTATTGGTAAACATTATCAAGAAGATCGGAAAATAATTACTCTCCAGCTCGATTAATATTATCATTATCATGTCTTGATTAGGAGTAAAAACCTGGTTAAGATATGCATCGCCCATTTATAAGTTTAATGCAGTCACGGAGTTGGAAGAGTTTTAAAATATAGTGGAAGCAATGGTTGTTGTAATATCTTACTGAATTCTTAAAGTTTCTTTTACTTACCTGCCCTTCACTTTTGTCTTGCAAGTATCATGATTTTGTTTGTTTGTTTTTTTTTATTTGAAAGAAAATGTGAGTTTAAAGAATAACAACTATTACTATTTTAAGTTTATTTCACTAGTCACTGAAATAATCCTGCTTTGGTAGCTTGAGTTTGTCCGCGGCTGCGTCCTGTGAATGCTGCGATCGCCTTGTTGAACTTTTTTACAGTCCTCTTTTTTACCTTTATCCCGCATTCAATTTCTTTTCCACCGGGAAGCTTTAATTTATCGATAACATTAAAGCAAAGAGTACGAAGGCGTTCCAATAATACGGATATCAAGATATCTGCTAATATTAAGACCATTTGTAAATATTTTGATTTGATAAAAAAAACTTCAAAGTACAGGCTCATTTCCCGACTATCTTTAAAAAAATGCAGTGGATAAATATTGATCTAGTGCATATGATTGCATAGACAAGTTAGAAAGGGAGCTACTGTTCCTGCTTTTCAGTACTGAAGTCCTTACTTTTCCCATCTTTTTAACCCTATTTTTTATCTCTTCTTTCTCTCTTTGTGTTTTTTCTTTTGTTTTGTCTCGTTATTTGCCACTTGAAAGCCTTAATGTCAATTTTTCATTGATAACTTAGCTGTGGTCCTTTGTTGCTTGGTCGTGTGGTAGTTTCATTCTGTGAATGCTACCTTGTTTTTTATATGTATGTTCTGGAAATTAGGCGGACCATACTCGTAATACGAAGATTTATGTATTAAAAGCCTTTGTAAATTGTTTCGGAAATACTGGATATCGTTTTGAAAAGTTATAGAGCTACTTGCTTTAGTATTTTAAACACGTTAACGAAAAATATCAATGCAATCAATTTTTAAGTGTTTCGGTTATAGTGATTTTATCGTAAATATATCTTAGCTCTCCTAAGAAATTTTTATTGGAATTTTATAATATGGACACTAAAAAATCAGAGAAGTACATCAGATTGATGGCAAAATCTTTACCTAACTAGGTTCACAAAACCTGATTTTCCAAGTGATGATCATATGAATAGACTGTCATTTTCTTCCTGTGACGGAAAGATAACGCACCTTTGTATTTATACCCAGGAAGATTTCAAGTAGTAGACAAAATGTTCTTGATATTTGAATAGAAGAGAATTTGATGAAGCAAATTTATGAGAGAGAAATATGGGATGCTACTTCTTAAATTATTTGCGCTTAAAAGAGGGTTTATTTTACTCGTTTAGCTTACTTTCAAAAGAGAAAAGGTAAACTAAGACGTAAAACAATAAACATTTATTGTATCATAGTTTGGAGACCTTTTTGTTGAAAACGTGTCAGAGCTAAATCGTATACACATACATGCACAGTGCGTTAACTGGAGTTCAGGTATTAGATTCCCGCACTCCAGAGTATGCCACTTGATTGACTATTTTTTGGGGGGTTTACATTTTGTGACGACAGAGAAAGGGATAACGAAAGAAATTCTACATTCAGAAGCTGGCTCATTTGTTATTGTTACAACAGGAAACATGTATTTAATTCTGCCTATGATACAAAACGAAAGAACATCAAAACACTCGGCAATCTGATTTTTTGTCGGGCTTTGCCCCCTCATACAAATTAGATAGCCCGTGTTTCAATGCTCTTTCTATTGTGTAACATATATAGTACAACAGAAGTACACTTGAATTTGATGTAATGTTCAGAAATGTGTGTGTTTGGAACGTGTATGTACGATCCTATCAATATAGCCTGCGAAACGTCATTCACTGTACTCGGATGTCCATTTGTGCCAGAAACAATTTTGCAAAGGGGTGCACCAGAGTTCTTTCTCTACTAGTAAAGCTGAAGAGTTGCCATAATGCCGTACACTGTTTTTGTGCGACGATACACCACAATTTGATTAGATCGAAAGAGAGGTAGGCCAAGTTCCATTCAATACACATGTATATTTTGGGCTCATTCTGTATTGATTATAGCATTTATCGCTTTTGTATGAACAACCATAAAT